GTGAAGAGGTTAGTGGCAAGTTATCTCTGATGCTCAGGGTGAGGACAGCAGACTCAGAAGTAATAGGTGGTGTGGTGAGGTGTAGCAACCTATGAAAGACAAAAGATTTTATCAATGTATATTTTTCTGGTTGTTTTTTCTTTTAACTTAAAAGTTTTGTAGATTCAGCAGATCAATTTCATCATGTTTTGTACACATATACGCACACACATGCATACATGCACACACACACACACACACATCCTATTCTCAAAGGAACTCAGTCGATATCAGAATATACAGTGACAACTCAGGAGCCAAGGCAGTTTTTACTTTGCGTCAAATATGCTGGTTTAACACTTGTTTGATGTTGCCATTATCAAAAATGTTAGAGGCTGAATTTATCAAACAAAACAAATGATCTGACATGCACAAAACATTCTTTGAAGATGAAATGATCAAACAACTCAAATTTGTTGTCACAAAAAAGAAAAAAGGCTCCAAATTCAATACCCTGTGTCTCACATTTGCCATTGGCACTGGTTGCCATATATATATATTCAAATTTATCCTATCCAAGATTTTCCCACTCATTTGTGTTTTTCCTTGAAAATTTTTTCTCTTGCTCCTGAATCATTAATATGCCAGATCCTGCACTTGGACTCAATGTATTATACCAATTAAATTAATGATTAAATATTTAAGCTCTAAATGGCAGGCCATCCACTTAGTCAATTTAAATTTCCACCCTACATGCCTGTTATAAATGTGCCTGGTTTAAAATTTAGCTAGCAGCCATGTGGAAATCAGGGTAAATTCTTCTCTGTACACCAGGTCCCAAATATGGGATTTCCTACAGAGGGCGCTGTTCCAAGACAGAAAAAAAAAGAAACTACAGTAATAGCTCAATACATTTGAACAACCACAATGAATAATTAACCTTCTCTACATAAATTCACTTTCTTTTTCATACTTAATTTAATGATTTATAAGTTCTTTAAAGTTGAGTAATTCATGTCAGTAAATTTTTGGGTGTCTAAAAATGAAAAATCTTGGTGAAGTATACCTGCAAAAAAATCACAAAAAGTGATGCATTGGAAAATTTATAAAGATTACCACATGGAAATAATTGCTTTATAAGTGAACCTGGTGACAAATTTTCATCAGTCTGAGAAGTCAAATTGGAGAGGAGACACACGTACAGCAAAGTCATGAAGATGATGAAGTTCTGTTTTGTTTTAGTATTTCTACTGTTTACTATCCCCCAAGGTGAGCTTTCAGAGAAAACAACTCATTTAAAACCAAAATGATGTATATTCACCAATCTAGGTAGATTTACTTAAAATGTAGAATTTAATTTTTAGGTTTTTTAATGCATTTTTTTTTTGTACAATTTTAAAAGACATGAACAGAAATGGAGAAGACTATTTAAAAGATCTTGAAAATGCAAATATCAAGGGTGTGAAGCTCTATGGCTGTATTCCCAGAGCTTTTAGATCGATCTATCCCCGCGGGGAGTCTCACTAGATTACTGTCAGATAATCCAGTTTAAATGTCCGTCCCGCCTACTACAAGCTGTAAGGGGGTAATTTACTTTCGTGTCCGCTCGGCTGACAGCTATTTAGCGTGAACCCCCAGGGAGTTAGGTCGATCTAAATTAGATCGATCTAATCTCTGGAAATGGGGTCTATGTTGGGGGGGGGGGGCAGGGGTGGACACAGGGTAGAAAAAATCTATACCCAAATATCCAAATTTTAAGATAATCTGCAAGACTCTCATCTCTAGTAGGGGGCGGGGATTCAGGTTTTGAGCCATTCACCCTTTCAACTGGGAAAAAAGTCAACTCTGGGTAAAATGTGAACTAGTTACACAAAGATTTCATGGTAAAAAGGTCCACTTTTTCAGAAAAAGAACCCCTCCTTTGAAATTGCTGGCTATGGGCCTGATATTTTTTCATAACAAGCAAGTTTGGTTTGCAATTTAAAATTTATATTCAGCTGACACCAAAGTACTTACATATTTGTACTAGGACCACCTTAACTATATATTCATTACTGGTAAGTCAGTAGTGATTTACTCAGTATTTTGTGGGTTTTCCACAAGAATATTCTGCTGCAATCTTTACGAAAATTTTGGCTAAATAATACATGCACTATTATCTATTTAAGCACATTGAATAAAAATAATGTTTTCCACTCTTCTTTCCACTATTCTTTAGAAGCCCTGTCACAGACTAATCTCTGCCAAAAAGATGCAGATTGTGTTGCCAATAACTACTGTCGTGGCTGCCTGCCCACAGTGAACCCAACTTGTGTCTTAGAGACCAAAGGACGGTGTACTTGTCCGTATTGTGGTCCATACTAGAGCAGGTAAGTTTTTAATTTTAGTATTCATTTAGTATTCATTTTCTTTCGATGCTTTAAAATCACTCAATCTGTTATGACAAAAATTAGGCAGCAAAGCTTGCAAAAGTACAGACAGTACATATTACCAAAGCATTTATTCTGCAATGATCCATCAAAATTGACAGCAAAGCTTGCAAATGTACAGAGAGCACATAACACCTCCGCATTTATTCTTCAATGATCCGTCCAAAGGACACATCATCTCTTTGTTTACAAATGTCCCATATTTCATACATAATATCAATCTTTTTTCTCAATTTCAGATAAGACCTGTGCAACATATGAATTCCAACAGCAAGGGATGCTTTACCTTTTAACACGGACTCCTTTTCTCTGAAAGCAAATTTAGAATTTGTTGTTGAATAACTTGGAAGTAAACCCAATAAAATATCTATAAACAACACATATTTCTTTTGATAGGGAGTGCCATGTCAACTCTTTGCTTATTAAAAGCAAATTAAAATTATAATGACAATAATCATGATTTAGGCTTCGTTCACATGGAAAGTCTATTTTCTAAAAATCTATTTTCTATTCGCGGTATCTTGTGATCATGGTCCGTGCCCTGAATATCCCGCGGCGTAATTACTGGCAGCACCAGCCAGTAACTTATACAAAGCTGTAATTAATTATCGGCTGTGCTCGGAGGAGATTCTGATACCTTGACACATGCGCAGTAGGAAGTTAGAATGTTAACGGCGGTCGCGGTTGCTTTGAAAAATGTGTTTGTCGATTTTGTGCAACAACAAGACGAAGAAGAAGAAGAAGCTATTCACACACAAGATACGAGTGCAACCGTCATGATCCGATGGCAAGCGATGCGGTAACGGAGGATGAGGTTTTATAGAATGCGAGCACAGCGGAGAATTAATTACAGCTTTGTATAAGTAACTGGCTCGCGCTGCCAGTAATTACGCTGCGGGATATTCAGGGCACCGACCGTGATCATAAGATACCGCGAATAGAAAATAGATTTTTAGAAAATAGACTTTCCATGTGAACGAAGCCTTACTGTACCATGTAAAATATAGATGGAAATTATTGAATGCATTATTAAGGCACTAAAACAAAACAAGGTTAAATCTTGGAAAATAAACATTTAAATTATGCATCTTTAAGTTTTAGTTTTGGATGTTGAATACTTTGGCGATTAAGGGAAAAGTGATAAAACTTCAAGAAATAAATCTATTTTCTTATGTCAGGTCTAATTCTTTTTGCGTGACTAAAGAATAAGCCTAGAAAAAAAGGCAGTATGTAAAGGTAGGTGTAGTTAAAGTACGGATGTGCTGAAGGTTATGTGTATAAACACTTTGTAAGGTCACAACTGGGTCAATTCTAATAAACTACCACGCAGTAAGAAGCTTGTTGTGCAAAACCAAAACAAAACAGCGTGTACAAGTTAGGTATATCACAATCCGCTAGGGGCGCTACAGTCGTAACTGTCCAGTGGCAGTGAAGTGTAAAACTGAAGTCGGCCTGCTGACAGCTCGCCTATGGCACCCCTTTTTTAAATCTCTCTTTAAGCGCCGCGTAAAAAAACTAATACAAGCCATTAACTAAATAAGCTGTAAATCAAAGAGTAAAATCCGGTCACGTGATTTTCCCGTGTTGCAGTCTTTGAGAAGTTTCAGTTCAGGGTGTTTGAAGTTTTGCCTCGACAAAATGCTCAAAAATGTCAGGGAAGTACTGGTTTCAGTTTTTTAAAATTTATATCGAATAAAGTTTATGAAATTTGCAATATTATGTAAAAAAATCATGAAAATTAAACCATGCGAAGTATAGTTTATTTGATGCGCAATATTTATAGTGCTTGATCTGCACGGAAGCCATCCCAGCCATGTGTTTGTGCGGTCGCCAATTTGGGTTTGTTTCCGGGTCATTAGATTAACATACAGCCATAATTGCCCTAATTGGTCACAAGCAATTTGAGCTGCAGCTACAGCTGAGTGATCACCGCTGGTCAGTAGTGACAGGTTTTAAGCTGAAAAGTGTGGACACTTTTGGTGCATTTTTGCAGTTAAAAAACTTCAATATCTTTGTTGCTTGTAGAAATATTAAAAAAATTCCAAGTGATTTCATCCGGTTTTTGCATTACCTTTCAGATGATATAAGTATTATAATTTTCTGATCAGTTTGAAAATTTTTCTGATATACCTATACAAGTAGTTTTTGTCTTCAAATAAAAAAAGAATTTTAATGAGTCGATTGGATATCTTATGATATTATTGAATAGGCTCGTGTTTGCTCTTTTTGAAATTGAATATAGCAGCTAATTTTTTTGTATTTTTAACTTGATTCATTTTATTTCATGTACCGGTAAATTTGCACATGATATACCGCTCGTAGCTCAAGTAACTGGGATGAACTTTAGAACCTTTCACCAAATGCGTATTGGTTTGCATTTCACATAAAATCCCATACTTCTTACCTTTTTTGTCCAATACTAGTACATGTTCAACGGTTATGCCGTTTTCATTTAGGTAAAGATATCTGACAGATGGAAATTTGTCACTTTCAAAATTATGCTCTGTTTACAAAACGCTGCTGGTGATAGAAAGTACCTAGCCACGATAATGTCGTTATATAGGACAGGTGCCTTTTCTTGCACTGATCAGTACATGATACATAAAAAAACTTTAAATCATAATAATGCTATATTATCAACGCAAAATGATATTTTGGAGAATAACTGTCGCTCATAGCATTTGAGTTTCTTGAACGGCATACTGTCAGTGGATACGTTACTTCACAACTGCGCAAACTCAGCGGAAGTCAGCTGGGCACGTTTTATAAGCGGCTTCGTGTAGATTTTCTGCAACTGAAGTTATTTTTTTTTCTTTTCGATTACTCCATTGCCGCTCAGAAGCGTTTTCACACAATGACGATCCTCAGACTTGCCGGGCCTTTTGGGCGGAGGGCACTTTTCAGTCAATTAAAGGCAAGGAAGGTAAGTACGAGTCGGCTGCTTAGCTGCTCAGGGCTCCGTAACCCGAAAGCACGCTCGGCTGTCACCTTGATTGGATAGTAAACGATTGTCGTAAAATCGCTAAACGATATTAAAACCGGGTTCATAAACTTGAAAACCACCTAGGACAACCTTGGACTACCACATTAATCCAATACAATTCAAAAATAAACTTTTACAAGTGGTTAAAGCCTTCAGACCAAATGTCGTAAAGTCCCCATATACCTCCATAGAGACAATAAAATAGAGTAAGCTTGTGAAATAAGATTCCACAATTTTAAACATAATAATCGAAATAAAATACTGCCGGCATCGGAGCGGCCTAAAACTTGGCACGCTTACCGCAAATACTGCAGGCTACATCACCCCGTAGCTCGTTTGTAAATTCCGTGCATGGCGTACGCACAATCAAAAAGTAAAGCCAAATTCTCGGCGTGTCGTTTGGGTCGGTCCTGTCCACCATTCAATTCAGGAAATGACGTAACCGCAGAGGTCGCATTGTCCAATGGCATGGCTTCTTTTTCGTAATGGGAGGTTAGAGTGGACCAACCCAAATGACACACCGATAATTTGGCTTTACGGTTTGATTGTGCGTACGCCATGCATGGAATTTACAAACGAGCGACGGGGTGATGTAGCCTGCAGTATTTGTGTCAGGGACTGTCAGATCTTAAGTTTATCTCTCATCTTAATATTTAGTTTCATCTTCTAACGACACTGTGAAAAAGAAAGATTAATCTCACCTGCCCATTTGGTATATTGAAGAGAGCCATTAACTGCCCACTACTGCATGCAAAATAGCATAGTTTGACTTCTGGGAGTAAGAAAGCTTTCAAAGCCCCCAAAGCCAATGGAAAGCCAATTTTATACCTTAACACCGTTTTACCATTACCTGTATACACCTATCACCATCTTTAGCATGAGCACATATAGTACACAGTGAATGGGAGTGGCCAACACATGAATTTCCACGCGACTGCCTCATATGAGACAGACCACAATATCCAGTTCATCTTTTAAATCCAAGTCAGATTTCTGCGTCTAAGTAGTAAAGAATACTTTTGTCATTTGATGTGTCTTGTAAGATGATATGATGTTTCCATTTTAATTTGTACCACCAGCGTTAGCGCTGGCGGTACACATGGTTTCGGTCCCGTCCGGATCGTTCCGCCGGCTCCGCCGGCTCCGCCGGCTCCGCCGGACGGCTACCGTTACCGCTTCTCCTCCTAGACGGTAAGGCCCCCCGTNTTTTATTTGGCACCTTTTTGCAGCTGTTTATTATTGATATTGCAGGTAATGTTGACAGAGGTGATACAGTGACTGACTATATGGACCAGGAGAGAGACCGAGGTATTACCATAACCTCTGCAGCAGTAACATTTTATTGGAATGATCACAAAGTGAATCTAATAGATACACCAGGTAAGGAGAAAAGAACATAAATGACATCAGTGATAGCCTAATCAAGACTGTCAGCACTGCTTAGTAGGTGAATTTGAGTGAGGGTGAAACTCTATGCACGAAGAATAATGTCATAGAAAGCAATACAAAAGTAACACCCTAAACATGGTGAATTCCTACTGTTCTGCAATAGACTGAAATCCAACAGAGATAACAACGAGAAGAATATCCATGCATCTATTCTGTCAGCATTTATCAGTTGCCACACCGGTTGGTGGTTATACATTTGTTCTAAGAGTTACATTTTCACCAATAAGACAACTGAGACAGGCAGGAATAGTTTTCTGTTACATGGTTTATTCAAGCGCCTGAAGACTCGGGTCTCTTCTACCGTATCTATAACTATCTCTAACTCTCTCAGTCTGTAAGTCCTCTCTCAGTGGCTAAGTCACTGCCTTTATACTCTATCTTAATTTGCATTTCAAATTAGCTTTCGTAACTGTCATGAAACATGCCATGCCTATGTACATTAACTTAATTGTAGATACATTTAAATTAAATCTTGATTTGCATTTTAAATGAACTTCTCTTAAACTGCCATGCAACATGTCATGTCTATGTATATTTGAATAATTAAAACGTACAAATATATACATATCTCATGTATGCAAATTTAGAAGACTATCAGTTCTAATTAACGGATCACTACACATACCATGCCCTCTAGTCTGCCATTATTTCTAACTCCACTCTCTTCAAAATCCTGAAACATCTCACTTGATTTTATACCAAGTCTGATAATTTTTGGCTATCTGGATTGATTCCTCACTGACAACATTTTACCCACCTATTATTGTCAAGTTGCCTGGGGCAATCGGTCATAAGCATGGCAGATCATACTGTGGCACCACATGGTTTTCTTCACAATATTTGATGAGGAAGGAATTTTATTTACACATAATTAATTTTATTTCTACATCATTAAGACAAACATAACAAAGAACAGTGGTCAGTCATAGGCACAGATGAGTTTATCCAAGCGGAGGTAATTCTAAGCCAGATATGACATGGGTGCTTTTGGTTTTTAAAAATAGAAATAAGATGAAAACTGCACACACTGCATAGAAGTCGACTGATGCCAATCA